TTTCTCCCCTCACTTAAATCACTGCATTTTATTTTCTTATTTCCCTTATTTTCCACCTTATAAAATTAACAAAACTTCCTTAAGCAGGTATATCCCTGTCCCAAACCCCTGTCCCACCTTAGCTGCATGCCCGTGCTCCAGGAGCAGACATCCTTCCTCAGCAGGAGGTTGTTCAGGGCGACCGCGTTGATCATGTAGAAGAGCTGCTTGAAGACCTGCTGCACGATCTCTGGGTCCAGACCCTGGTCACACATGATGCTGTGGAACGTGTTCAGCTGGCGAATGATTGCGTCTAAGCTGTAGGAGCTGTCGCCGTCTGCCATGCTGGAGGAACGATTCCTGTAGCCCATCGGCCTGACACCAGAAAGCCCCTGGATACTCTCATTTTCCAGTACCGCAGACACTGAAAAAGGGGGGGAAAATGAGCTAAAAAAGCCTGCATTCACCTATTTGTCATCAGAGGTAAATGCTCTTTCATTGGCAGTCATAAATACGCAGTGGTGTCCAAGTGATGCAACGCGATGGATGCTGGGAGGTCTGAAAAGGAGGATGGATCCATGAATTGCTAGTTTGTTGTGATAATATGTGATGCCTATAGAATATCTGCAAGATCACACTTTTTTTTTCCAGGTGGTGTTACTATGCAGAAATCACTGCAGAAACTGGGAACACCTCTTCTTTGAGCTGTAATCAATTCTCCCTCTATACCCACCGCAGAGCCTTAGATTTTGCAGGTAAAGTGATTAATTGGCTCAAAGGATTGGGAAAAATGAAGATAGATTAAAAGTAATAAAATTCTTACAGCCTGACTAACTGATAGAGGAACAGGACAACTCTCTGCAAGGAGCAGCAGGTACATGCAGCAGTGGTAGGAGGTGCTGCTGTCGGGGACAGCCAGAATTTGTGCAATGATGACTGGAGGGCAAAGGGGAAGAGTCTCAGATGCAGAGGAGACCTGGCTGGGTGCTCAGGGAAAATACCAGCAGCTAGAAAATATAAAGCGCTGAGAACAGCCCCTCAATTAGCTTAGCGAGGAGGACAGGTTTAGCTGAGGAGGTAACTCTTCTCATACTGACTCGCCTTTGCAAAACAAGATCTTCTCTTTTTCCTCTTCCCAACTCTCTCCTGTGCATCTCGCCCATAAAGAGCTTAACCACAAACCTGGTCTGGAGGGGAACGCTGCTCCTGCGCACCCCCCGGCACCACCTCACCTCTGTCACTACCTCCCCGATGGAAAGGAAGAAGGTATCTTCTATCACAGGGGAAAATAAAAACTCATCCAGTTCTGCCTCCCTAAATCCAGGTCACTGCTTAACACAAGGACCCGCTCCAAACCAAGACTTTTTTTGTGTTAAATAAGCCTCTCTACCAACTGCAAGCTTTTCCTTTGGGGAGAAGTCATGCTAACCCTGTGCAAAGGTCTAGATAACACTCAGAGTAGATAAGTACAGCCCAAAATTACCTTCCTAAAAGCTAATGAGCTGTGAACTTACCGATCATGGGTTGGAGTATGCCCTCTGCTATCTTAATGAGCTGCTGGTAGATCTGGATGGAGAGGTGGCTCAGCACCTGGCGGTACTCGGTCAGGTCAAAGTTCTTCAGACAGTGCTCGTTCTGCTTAGGCGTGTTTTGTGTCATGAAGCCCTGAAAAGGAGGAGATTAAAACACCTGGTTTCATTATTCCACCTATCTTTAGTCCAGTAAAATCACTGTATTAAGAAAAACCCAACCTTAGAGTACAATATATCCGGATATATTACTAAAGTACACGTTTACTCTATTATAGAAAAGATCAAGACTCATAAATCACCTTTGATGTACGCAGCCGTTTGTTCAAAAATTATGACAAGAGGGCTGCTTTTTGAAGGAAAGCATCGTTATGCGCTAAGTTCTCATTTTAGCTTTAGCAAGGAACAACATTTGTATTGCAATATATACGTGTGAACTAGAAAATGACATTTTAGTCCCCGAGAAATTTTTTTTAGCTCTTTGTTTATCCCTGTGAGTTGCAATTATTTATGGGAAACCAAATATTTTGAGATTAAGGTATTAGAAAATGGAAAAAAAAAATTATTATGATAACCACATGTTCTGACAACTTTTTAAACTGATCTGAAGCTCAGAAATCTCTCCAAGTAACTGAATTTATTCCCTGCCTTTTGCTGAAGCAGCAGCTGATGTCTGATCCTGCAAATGGATGCTGTAAAGCCCCGAGTTCTGGGCTCGGATATTATCGCCAGGTTTTGCTGGTGGAAGCAGCAAGTCTAACTTAATTTTGTAATTAACACAGATGCTTTAATTGCCTGTTCATATGGTCTTACCAACTTGGTGTCAAAATGAGAACTATGCAACTTTTTTTGTTGTTTGCTGAGTAGCAAAATGCAAAAATACAGCACGTACCCTTTGAGTTGACTTCACAATTTCTCGTTTTCCTGACTAACGAAGAAGCGTCGTGCTCTTTGCGCTGCAAGACTGCATTTAGTTTGGGTTTTTCTTTTAAACCCATTTTCCTAAAAATCGATTGGATTTCAAACTAAAGAGAACTATTTTGGAAACTGCTCAGAACAATTTTTCCCCTCTGTTTTTCGCACCAAATTATCAATGGAATTTGCAAATAGCTGGTTCACTTAACACGGTAAATCATGGCAAAGAATGTGAAATTTAAGTTTGGGTGTTGGTTTTTTTTTTACCCTGCTGGTTTTCTGGGGAGGATTTTTTTTAAATGTAATGCTGTTATTCAGGCAGAAGAGGGCAAACAAGAGCATAACTGTTAGTAAGTATTATCTAAATTATTTTTCTTTTTAATTTACATCTTGGAAGTCCAACGCTGAGGTTTTACACACCAGTCATTATCTTGTGAATGACTTGAACAGTTAATTTGATTCTGTGAATTTTTTTTATTTATTCTTAAAGCCTGATTGCTCAATATATCTAATACAACTCAAGACTAAATGAGAAACGACATAATTTGGCTCGGTTGAAAATTTTAATACCCAGAACATGCGGCTGTAAGTATGGCAGCATGTAATGTACTAAGAGGACTGTGATGACCTGATTTTGTCCGAAGAGATCAGCTATAATAAAACTTATTTCAAGTTCTGAAATTATTACTGAGGTGGCAAGAAATGAGAGGATTTCCTTCCAAAATCTTACACTATGATTATGCATTTTTGCTCTCTCCAAGTAGGGTTATTTTGAACAGAACAAGAAAAAAAAAAAATCAGTAGAAACATTCAGAATAAAATTGCAAGATTTGGAACAGTTTTCCCCTGTCTAAAAATCTTGATTATCAAAAAGTTACGGGACCTATTAAAACCAGGGGAACAGCCTTCAAAACAGCCTACAAGAAAGAAATCCCCTGTTCAGACAAATCAAAGTGCATGGCTGGCTATGAAATTCAAAATATTCTTATTGCGTGTTGTGTCGCAAGGGTCTTGGTTTCAGCTCTCACATGTCTTGTCTCGGGTGCAATGCCCCATGAACCTCTGGTAGGAGCTGCCTCGTGTGATATCCAAATAAACAAAGGAGGAAACTCAGAGATGACCCCATGTGGTAGCCAGAGGGAAACCACCAGACCCAGGAGACCTGAAGACCCTTCCTGGGGGAATGCCAACGTACTCAACAAGATCAGCCACGAGTTTCTTACCGCATCTCCACTGTACTGCTTTAAACAGTGTAGGAGGCGACAGGTATTCGCCAGCCAAAACGATGTCATCTGAAAATCATCATTGTGTTTCTGGAAGAGCAAAATTAAAACATGTGAGACCCCTCCTTTGGTGGGGGAAGCTGGCATAGCAAGACAAAGTGATTTGGAGTTGCCCCACCTAGATCAGGAAGCTCTCTCCCTGCAGATGGGCAGTATTAGCCATTTGTTCCTTGCAAATATTTTTTTTTTTCAATCTGTAACTGCAAACAATTTTATTGCCAAGATCATAATTCTCCTTGTTCTTCTGAAAAGGGAAGCTGTAAGAGCTACTGGGTTTGCAAATCACTACAAGTGCTGAATATGAAACACTTAGATATAGAATCATAGAATCATAGAATGGTTTGGGTGGGAAGGGACCCCTAGAGGTCATCTAGTCCAACCCCCCTGCAGGAGCAGGGACACCTTGAACCACATCAGGCTGCTCACAGCCCCGGCCAACCTGGCCTTGAATGTTCCCAGGGATGGGGCCTCCCCCCCTCTCTGGGCAACCTGTGCCAGTGTTTCACCACCCTCATTGTAAAGAATTTCTTCCTTATATCTAGTCTAAACCTACCCTGGTTTAGTTTAAAACCATTACCCCTTGTCTGGCCCTACTAAAACAGATATGGTTATAACCACCTTACACCATCTCAACCCCAAGACAAGAGAAAACAGACACCTACCTTCAGCACTTTCTTAACGCCGTTGATGGTGGAGGTGAGCAAGGAGTGCACTTTCTGGTCATCGTTGATGTAATCCGCATGTCTGATGCACATGTAGAGGATGTAGGCGGGAAGGCAGGGAACAGTAGCAGACACTGCCTGGGGCTTGAGATCTAGAAGGTTCGGGGGGGGATTTGAGATCTAGAAGGTTCGGGGGGGGGGGGGGGTGAGATCTAGAAGGTTCGGGGGGGGGGGGGGAAGGAGGACGG